ATTTTAATTGTAAGCTTTGATTTTTGAAATTTATTAAAATTATTAAAAATTTAGAAACAATTTTCATTCTTTTTTAATTGATAACATTTAAAACCCCAATCGCTTGAGTTCAATTTAATTCGAAATATCTAACCAACGGTGATTCTAAACAGCCTCATTTGTTCCACTTTCGAAAACCAATTTAATTGCTTTAATTAGCTTTTAATTTCGGCTTGAGCAAGATATGCAGTCATACATACAAATCTCCATGCTCTTTCACTTTTATGTAAGCCCGCAGAGAATAATCGAAAATTACCCAGCGAAAATTGATCAAATTGTATTGTACCTTATGTGAAATGTGTTGCAAAGCAAAGTTCACTTTTACTTAATCGCATGATTAGCAAAAGGTTTGGTTAATTAAACTTTTAAAGCAATTAGGTTTATATATATTTTTAATTTGATAAATAATGCTATATAATGGTTTAGAAATTAAAAATGTGGTGAAATTAACCGATTTAAGATAATATTGGGAAAAAGTCTTTTCGTATTTTTAATCAAACTCCAACTTATTATTTTTATATTTGTAATGAACTTTAATGAACCAAATATGTACCATTTTGTTTGATCACTTTTTGCCATTTTTCCGCTAGAGACCTTATTCCATCTGTGTAAAGCTTTTCTGGTTTCTCGGCGAAAAACTGCGACAAGTAATTATCACAGGCATTTCTTGAAGCCAACTTTACTCCAGCAAGGGAGTTCTGCATTGACCGAAACAAATGGTAGTCCGATGGTGCACGGTCTGGGCTGGTGGATGCATCAGAACTCGTCAGGTAATGCTCTCCCAGTTTTTATCGAGCCATCAAAGATGTGTGTGGTCTAGCATTGACCTGAGGGAAGACGAAGCCCTCTCTGTTGATCAGTTCTGACCGTTTTTTTTTCGATTGCTTGCTTCAATCTCATCAGTTGTTTACAGTATAATGGACAGCCAACCGTTCGCCCAGGTTGGAGCAGCTCATAGTAGATGACTCCTTTCCAATCTCATTAAACACTGAGCATAACCTTTAAAAGTGTCAATCTTGGCTATGCAATAATTTGTTGAGCTTCACGAAACTTGAACCATGATCTTTTTTGCACATTATTGTCATATTTGTTGCACTTTTCGTGTTCTGTTACTATTCGCTTCAGAAATGTTGCGATTTCATTTCGTTTCAGCAAAGAGTCGTAGATGTTAATTCGGTGCATAAAATTTTTCACAGACAATTCATGTGGTACCCACACATCGAGCTTTTTTTGTAGCTAGAATTATTTAAACTTTCAAAACCGCTCCTTAGTGATGTCATGTTCCAGTCAATCTTTTCCATATTTTTTTATATAGGTGGATAGTTCCCGAACGAAAGCGAGCGAACCATTATTGTGCTTCACGAGCTGATACAGCATCGTCTCCGTAAACTTCATAAATCATCAATGAAAATCCGGAACATTTTTAAGTTGTTGCTCAGCCTAATTCACGAACATACGACGATTCTGGTAATCAAGTGGCTTCAGTTATTTTGTCAATTTGATCTTGTAAGGATGTAATTCCAGATCGGCAGCAATATTTTCGATACTACGGGCACTTATTTATCTCTATTGTACGGGATCCTTTTCTACTGTACCTTTGGATACAAACTTTTTGTTGATATGACAGGACGATTATGACAACCATCAAGTAGACGTAGCGCTCTTAAAGTTGAGTCCACTGACTCCAAATTTCTGTAGTAAATTTTAATAATTTCGACTCACTTTTGAATCATATATCTTTCCATGATGAAATAGCAAACCTTACTGAAGAGAAATGTTAAAAGAGCGGGTAAAATATGAAGTCGTTTACTGTTCATTTCATTTCGGTGTACTTTTGTAGGGAAATCACATTTATTTAAAATGTCTTAATATAAGAAATAAAAATTAGCACTAAGGCTATAAAACTGAAAATAAATTTAAAACTTGAAAAAAATTAATCAGTCAGGTTATTTCAGAACTATAATTCATGCACTTACTCACAAATATCTACAAATATTAGGTTGTCAAAAAAAGTCTTGCGGTATTTTCGCTAGTTGGCGCTGAGAGCGCTGAATTCTAGTTTTATTCGTCACATCGGGTCATGCTATACCTTTTTGGAAACTCATTTCATTTCAGTTTGATTGATTGTCATTTCTTTTAAGTCGTTCTTGAGTTATAGCGTCGCAAACATGGAGCAGAATAAAGAGAAAATACGGCATATTTTACAATACTACTACCATAAAAGCAAAAATGCATCTCAAGCCGCCAATAAAATTTTTATGGACCCGATACAGTTTCCATTTCCACCGCACAACGATGGTTTCAACATTTTCGTTCTGGTGTAGAGGGGGTCGAAGATGCGCCAATGCCCAAAATTGCGATGAAATCGCTGAATTGGTCGAAAAAGACCGGCATAGTAGCAGCCGTATCATCGGTCAAGAGCTGGGCATGAGTCACCAAAAAAATTTTATGAACAATTGAAAATTTAATAAAAATACCGCAAGACCTTTTTGACAACCTAATATGTATGTGTGTGGTAATAAGCATATTACTTAAGAATTAGCAGCCTAGACTTTAAGTAATACATATCCTACTATACTATATGCCCCTATATATAC